GCAAAGGAATGCGTTTTGAAGAAATGAACAGGAGATAGTCACCTTATCCAACATTTCTTAAAATTTCAAACATATAAATCTTGTGAGATTTATATCTCACATAAATTTCAAACTTATAAATCTTCCTAGTAAAATGGTAGGCGGGAAACAGTTGTATTTTGACCAGGTGGTGTGATCTTTTTTGTGATGCTGGGGATTAAACCGAGGGCTTTGTGCATGCAAGACAAGCAGCCTACCAACTGAGCTATATCCCCAGCCCCAGGGTGGTATGATCTTAACGGTTGCACTTTATCACAAAGGATTAAACCCAGCCACCAGAGCTCAGGTGCCTGTGCCCTTCTCAAAGGACAAAGAAGACAAAGACACACTGAGTTTGGCCCATGGTGCTCTCAGCCTGTTGGAGTGTCCTGATGTGGGCAGGTGCCTTGGACTGTGTGACAGGAGGGAGCACACTGGGATAATCACACCTACCAACCTCAACTCTGCAAGTCTTGGTGGGTGGCATGCTGGTCAGTAGACTTCAGCTGTCGGGTAAAATTTAAAATTTTTTCTATAAATCTTATCCAGTTAGGCTTATTAAGAATTTAATTTGCTAGGATGATAACAATATGAGAAAAATCATGCCCTATATTTGGGATAACATTGAGCATTCTCTGAAAGACACTGCCCTGCATTTGGAGATAGATACCTTGTTCATCATGTGACACGGGGTCTTGAGTTAGCTGAGAGCAAAATAACCAACAAATTCATTCCGCATTGTATCTCTTTTGCCGGGCTGAGGGTACTCTCCTGTAATCCCAGCAGTGTAGGAGGCTAAGGTAGGAGGATCACAGGTTTGAGGTCAGCCTCAGCAATTTAGCCAGACTTTCGATGATCCTGTCACAAAATAAAATATAAAAAGGTCTGGGGATGTAGCTCAGTGGTAGAGTGCCCCTGGGTTCAATCCCTAGTACCAAAAATAAATAAATAATTATATATATCTTTTGTTCAATTATTTTTTTATGGTATACTAACTTAATAATCCAGTTGTAGTGGTGATTTGTCCAGACTGGGATTTTAGTGAAATATATCTTAGATGAGAACATCTCATCTCACCTCTTCCAAAGTGTGATTTAGAGCAATCAGATGCATCATCTTTGCAGTCTGATTATTTTTTCTCCTTTTTCGCAGTGCTGGGATAGAACCCAGGGACTCCCACAGCTAGTGTGATTTCTAACCCTTCACCTGCCCTGAGGATCTTAATGTAATTTCTGTGTCCACCTGACTTTGGCATTTGTATGCAGTGGGTTTTGATCTCTTACTTTATCTGAGCCCTTGCTCCATATTGTCATCCTGTACTCTATAGACCTCTTAACTCTACCATTTATGTAGGTGATGGCTAAGAGCTGGGCTCTGATTAATTTCTGATTGCTTCACTTAACACCCATGAAAGTTGTCCACAACAAAATGGGATCACTTAGGTAAAACCCTGACATAGTAGAGCCAGGAAGCCAGGAAGAAGGAGCCCGAATGCACATATTCCTATGGCAAGAAGTATCACAAGGAATCCCTGTAAACTGCAGTATTCCAGAAAAACCTCTTGCACAAGGATACTTGCCTGACAACGGCTGCCTCTGACCACGAGCTAACACCAGCTCCAGCAATAAAGTCCCCATAACCAATGGTCTTTGGTTCAAAACAGCTTAAATGAACTACTCCATTTCTTTTAAATCCTTCCTCTCTTCCCATCTTCTTCGGATGCACCCTGGGTCTACCACAGTGTGCATGTCTCAGATTGCAGTCCCCTACGATTCCCAAATAAACCCTTAGCTCCGAGAGTCATGGTATCTCTGTTGCTTATTTCAAGTTTGCACACCTGTGTAACCTTGAGACCCTCTCTACTTGTCCTGAGGAGTAAAGAACACCATTGGCACTGTGCCCCATGGATTGAAAGCACTCTGTAAATCTTTGTTGTCCCTCTGTCCCACTTACTTCATGCACCACTTCCTCCCCAAAGAACTGAGCATCCTGGGTTGAGACATCTGAATTCAGACCACCTTGCTGCCATTGAACCAGAGAGTTTAAATCTTTCAAGGCCCAGCTGTTCGACTGCATGCATTTAACAGGTCTCTTAAGCAATGAGAACTCTGGCATGATCTCAGGGTACAGTCAGAAAAGTGTGCCATGGATACAACATGATTTCCTGGGGGCCCCCCCCCCATGACTCCGTAGCAGAGTTGGGAAGGAAACTCGGCTCCCCGTGTCCACTGGTCACCATAAACCTTGTAGATTTAATTTTTTCCATATCATCATAAATCTTTCTCAGTTCTGCCTTTGCCCCAAGTTTCACTTTTGATTCACGTTCTCCCTCTTACATCTATGCCCTCTTCTCTTTTCTCTGCTTTTCTCCTTTTTGGATGGTGATTTCATTTTCATCCCTTACTTTCTCCTATAATAGGCTCCCATTTCCTTTATCCTAAACCCCACTCTTTAAAAATAAAAGTTCATTCCACTCCTTATTAGCAGGGCCACCCTCATCATTTGGATTGCATTTCTCTGCATCCTTATTACAATTCCTTAAAAATGAGGAAGCCATTGCATGTTTGAAGCTCTGTAAATAAAAACTGATCCTCAGCAGGAGCTCCTTGCAGGCATATTCCTGGCTCTCGGGGGCACCTTACATCAGAAAAGTCTCTCTGGGTCTTGATTCCTGAGAGTGCTGGCCAAATTCTGCCCCTCTGACATGAATCTGTCCTGTGCTTCCTTTGGGACTGGGGCTACTTTTCCCACAGTGCTGTTCGTATGTCTGTGTTATTTCTGGATGCGGGTCTTCAATGACCTTCCAGAATGGAATTTATGTGCCTCTACATCTGAACTTCAAAGCTTTGGACTTGTGATCCCCTCTTGCTGTTTTCCATGAATACCCCACATCTCCTGCTCACAGTTGTTGCCCCAGTCATGGGGGGTAATTTGTCCACAGGGGGTGTGACTCATCCATGTCAGAGACAGCTTTAAAGAGGACAGGCCTGAGGGTGACCCCCACCAATGCTGCTAAGCAGCTGAGTAAACTCCCTGTAGCTGTACCTACTGTTTATACTTGGGAAAGATGACAATAGAGTTTCCTTCTAACTCTAAGCAGCCAGGGAAGCAGGAAAGACGGTCTGTTTCCCATTTTAGAAATCTAAGATTTTTACCAAAAATGTTTGCTAAACTAGAAACGAATTTCATTCCTTTGTCACGGGGTTGTCTTTGGTAATCTCAAAAGGCAGTGTGTCATTATGGAAAATTTTTTCAGTCAAAACTAAGTCTCTCGCCTTGTTCTTGTACCGGGTTCTCTCACTGTCAGTGTGTGACCTGGTCACATGATTGTAACTGAGACTCCAGAGTCTTGATTTCCCCAGCTGTAAAATCAGATAATGATACTGCTCTATCTAGCTTTTAGGATTCTTAGGAGGACTGATTAAAAACAAGTAAACGAAAGTACTTTGTACTTATTTAAATGTACACTGTTAGTACTGTGATGCCCATCTTTGCATAGGGTGAGCATCTCTCATCCAAAATGCTTGGGGCCAGTATTTTGGATTTAGGGATACTTTCACCTACGCAATGAGATTTCTTGGGGATGGTTCCCAAGTTGAAACACAAAATGTATTTTTATTTCATAAAAACCTTATACTCATAGCCTGAAGGTATTTGCAGGCCTTCAACAATACAACAATGCCTAAATTTTATACAGAATTTTTGATGCACCTGTGTTTTGATGGCACCTGGGGTCAGGTGTGGAATTTTCCAAATGTGGCGCATGTAATGGATCGAAAAGTCTCAGATATTGGAGCATCTTGGAGTTTGTAATTTTGAGGTTAGGGATGTTTCAACCTGTTCTCAATTATAGTAAGATATTTCAGTAAACTGTTTCAAGCACCAGAAGATTTGAATCATTCCATGGACCAAATATCCCTCCCTGTGGTGGGAGTCCCAGGTCACTTCATTCCAGAGACCCCGGGAGGTGAACTCAAATTGAGGTTTTCCCTGAAACACTCAAAAGATGACTGCTCCCAAATCTGACCTCCCAGGACAAATAGGGGGAAGAAAGAAACTGCATATCATCTTCATAAAGCCCCTGGAGTTATGTTAGTTGAAAACTGAAAAATATAACACTATTCTGCAGGAGGTGCACATCTGTAGTCTGGGCTATCAGAAGACTGAGATGGGAGGATCACTTAAGCCAGGAGTTCAGGGCCAGCTCGGGCAACTGTCTCCTTTAAAAAACAAAAATAATAATAATAAAGATTAAAATTCCCTTTGGCACCCATTGGAAGGAAAGGACTCAAAGAAACCCAGCTGTGAGTTGTGCTAGCATGAGTTTAAATGTCACTGAACATATACCCAAGTCACACTGTCCATCTGCAGAAAGACTCAGTGCTCACCCTGCAACATTTTAGGGGCTTAACTAAAAGAGAAGGACAGATGACCACCCAGAAAGGGGATTTTACAGGCAATAGCAATCACATGATGATTTTCAGATCATAATTTAAAAAAATATATGTAAGCAAGTCACAACTTTGTAAATGCTCACATGGATCCTGATTTTAACCTCATCTTAATCCAGTTGCTCCCAGCTACCTACTTTCTCTCTGTAGAGTATATTCGACATAAAGGAAGCTATTAACTAATAAATAGCTTCATCAATAGATGAAACAATGCAATAATAGACTAAATGAATATTGAAACAAATGAAATGATATCAATTTATAATTTACATAATTCTAGAAAAATTTTGACATGACGGCAGTCGGAAGTTGGTGAAGTTGAGTGGCCTCCTCTGTTCAGATGACTCCTGATGTCCCCGCAGAGCCTTATCCCATGTTCATGCTTCTCATAATTGTACCATGGCCATATCCTACATGGTGTCACACCAATGACTTTGGCACTTTTTTTTTTTTATTCCAACACTATGACAGGACAGAGTGAGCTACACAGGACAGCTCTTGAGTCACGGTGCCATTTTGTCTTTCTTTCAGAGACTCTGACCTATTTTTGCTGGACACCCGTGTCGTGTGGGCCTCCGAAGAAGGCTGGCTGGAATTTGACATCACAGCCACCAGCAATCTGTGGCTGGTGACACCACAGCATAATATGGGGCTTCAGCTGAGCGTGGTGACTCGAGATGGTGAGCTGTGATTGTCCTACTCCCCAAATCTGGCCCACGGTCTTCATTCCTCTCTTGTCCAGCAGATATGGTGGAACCCTGGTTTCTAGTCCAGTTCTTGGCTCCAGCATCCTCATTAACTTGTTCCCTCCTGGCTGCTATGAAATACCCAAAGCTTCCCCTGCCATGTAGTAAGGACTTGGAGATGGGCTTAGGCCATGTTCCCCAGGGTTCAAGATACAGGATGGGATCAGCTTTCACAGGGAGAGGCACATGGGGGGACATTGAGACATAGAAAGGCAGGACCTGCCATTGAAATGCTAGCTGTTGAGTGGGCTTGGGGGACCCTGTGGGTACCCTCTCCTCCTGCTGCAGCAAAGATTAGGTTCCCTGCTGCTGATCCAGCCTGTGTAGTAGCCTCACTAATTGGAAAAGAAATAAGATCAGAAAGAAAGAGTGAGCTCCTTGAATGACGAACAGAAACAAGAGAGCTGGGCATCCACTCCACTCTGTGTTTGATTGTCATCTTTTTTGAAGGAGCATTTTGATTCTGCCCAGCCACAGTGAGCCCTCTGAGGTTGGAGAATGCACATTCTTTATTCTTAGCATGCAGGAGACCAGGAAGGGTCCCTTGGTTATGTAGCTGCAAGGCTAAGGTTCCAGGACATGAAGAGTGGCATGCTTTGGTTTGCATTAAAGGTCTCCACATCAATCCCCGTGCTGCCGGCCTGGTGGGCAGGGATGGCCCTTACGACAAGCAGCCCTTCATGGTGGCCTTCTTCAAAGTGAGCGAGGTCCACGTGCGCACCATCAGGTCAGCCTCCGGGCGGCGCCGACAGCAGAGCCGGAATCGTTCCACCCCGTCCCAGGACGTGTCCCGGGTCTCCAGCGCTTCAGGTAGGTGTGACCGGGGGATGGGCTTTGGCCTTCATGACAACAGTGGCCGTGACACCTGCTCAGATGTTGAACAGCTTCTACTTGGAAGATAGAGTGACCTGTGGGTGACCCATGGATGAGGGTAAATTGAAATATCTAAGTGGGTTCCGGGCACTCAGAGCAGATCACTTGTTACCCAGAGACTCAGGTACAGGCATGGTGCCTGATTATCCAGGAAAGCCTCTTGTGGTTTGGTTAGACTTCTCCAGCCCTGTTTTTGATTCCCATCAAAATCATGGAAGCATCTCCATTTTTATTTCAAGTTGCATCATACCTGGGAGCTGCAAGGGACAGGTTGAGTATCCCTTATCCAAAATGCTTGGGACCAGAAGTGGTTCAGATTTTTTTTTTTTTTCAAATTTTGGAATATTTGTGCATACATAATGAGATATCCAAGTGGAGGGGACCCAAGTCTACATACAGAATTCAGTTTTGTTTCATGTATACTTTATCAAGTAGCCTGAAGGTAATTTCATACAATATTTTTTTAGGATCGTGCATGTTTTGACTGCAACTTGTCACAAGAGGTCAGAGGTGGAATTTTCCACTTGTGTCGTCATGTTGGTGCTCAAAAGGTTTCAAGTTTGGGAGCTTTTCAGATTAGGGATGCTCAGCTTTTACAAAGAAACTTCTTTTGTTGTTGTTCACTTGTGTCCTATGGACTTGCTCTTGGCTGGACGTGATGGGAAGTCTGCTTCAAGAGCCTTCTTACAGTAGATTTTATTAGCTCACTCCACCCGGGAGTGCAGGGGATCTAGTTTAAGGCATGGCTGGTTCTATGGGGCTCAAATGATCTTGGCAATCAATCAATCTCTCAATCAGTCTATCTTGTTTTCTATTTTCCTTTGCTGGTGACATTTTCAGAAACACTATATACATTGGCCAGGAAGGTGACACACACTTCCTGGATTTTATCCCCCTTAGCAACCTCTGTCTCAGACACCGAGTCCCTCTCTTGTGGTAGTTTTTGCAAAAAGTCATGTGCCCCTCCTGCTGGAGCTAGGGTATAGTCAACCTCGTTCTGCACAGAACACGTGAAGTCCAAAGGGCAAGAGAGGGAACAGCCCCACTGCCTGGGTGTCAGTTCTGTGGTCCTTAAGAAATGTTGCTTCTGAGGCTTTGCCCCGTTTGGTGTGCCATGGAGCTCCACTTGTGGAGACTCGGAGGAAAGGGGGAGCAGAACTTCCCTCCCGACAGCCAGTCACCTGGCTTTAAGTAGTGTCAAATCCCAACCCAGACACTTCTTGCTCGAGAGCCAGGTTTTGTAAGTACTGGGTTTTCTTTGAAAGTTTAAATAGCCCCGGAATCAAGCATGAAGTTGAAAATTTGCAGAGGGATTTGGATTTGCAACCAGAGAACTGAACTTCCCTCATTGCTACCCTGTGACTTGGGACTAACCTAACTGCCTGTGCTTCAGTTTGCTCATCTGTGAAATGGAAATGAAGAATACCTTGTAGATTTGTTAGGATTAAATGAAACATGTTAGGTCTGGTTTATCCTAGCACTCAAAGATTAGCTATATCTGTTTGAAGGAAATAGGTACTTTGAGCATATGCTGGGATCTCTGGAAAGGAAGCAAAATACTGCTGGAAGATAGATATATATTTTCCAGGTGGCTGTTTACAAATGTCACTTTAAGTGCCCAGAAAGAGTTAATGCACTTTCCTAAAGTACCCAATTTTTCTTTGGAAAGAAGTGTCCCCTAAATTTTAGGCTGTGACCTAATAAGCCGGCTCTTTTCCCAGTTGCTTGGATGTGGAACTTGAAGATCCACCACCCAGTGTGGTGTGACATTTTGTTTCTTGTCATCCTGGTGTTTCTTGGAAGCATCTCACAGCATGGGTGTTCCTGTGTTTACCACTGGAAACAGTCAGGGTTGGGGTTTTGCAAAAAGAAGAAAAAGAACTGCTGGCTTCCCACTTTCCTCTGTGCACTTCAGAGGCGGCCTGCTGGATGGAGTTAATAGTCCCTTTTGCTTCAGGGCATGGTGACGGAGTCTGCCATGGCAGGCTTCAAGTCATTCATGAACTGTGGTCACTTTGGTACCCGGGACCTCAGACATGGAGGCATCTTTTGAAATGCTGATTACTCTTTAAAATGAAAATTTCATTTGATTGATTCAATGCAACCCCCTAATACACACACCAATTTTTTTAAATTAAGAAAACATGTTGTCCCTGATTGGGTTTTTGCAATGTCACCCAATTATTATTTTTCAAGTCCCTTTCAATGTTTTTTCCCCCCGATTTGATGCATTGAAATTAAACATGGATATTAAAGTTGATCTAATTTATAATAAGTTGCAAGTGTCTCAGTTTTTTTCCCTTGGTCTCCTCACTCCCAACCCCCCCAACCCAGTCCTTCCAAATTTGCTCTGCTACTTTCAGAAGTCCAGGGCAAGACAGTTTAGACCTCACTGGTGTGGTTTGGATGTGAGGTGTCCCCCCAAAGCTCACGTGTAAGACAATGCAAGAAGGTTCAGAGGAGAAATGATTGGATTGTGAGAGTTTTAACTAGTCCCCTGATTGGGATTGACTGAGTGGTAACTGAAGTGGTGGGCTGTGGCTGGAGGAGGTGGGGATTGGGGCGTGGCTTTGAGGTATACATTTGTATCTGGTGATTGGAGCCTCTCTGTCTGCTTCCTGATTGCCATGTGAGCCACATCCCTCTGCCATTCTTCCACCATGATGTCCGGCCTCATCTCCAGTCCTGAGGAATGGAGCTGGCCTTCTATGGATCAAGACCTCCAAAACCGTGAGCCCTCAAGTAAACTTTTCCTCCTCTACGGTTGTGCTGGTCGGGTCCTTTAGTCACATGTGTAAAAGCCCCAAGAAAACATTGCTGCAATAAAAACTCCTCTCTCCTAAGACCCTCTTGAGTGATCCAAGGAACCGCTCACGTTTGGTCCCCTGAAGTGCAATTTTATATGTTCGGCTCTTTATTCTATTATTGAAGTGGACGTGCAGAGGAAGAGATTGCACTGCAAGAAGGGTTTTCCAGAAAGGTGGCCTTGCACGTGGGGAAATGGGCGTCTGATCTTGCGCTCTCCCTCCAGGCTCCCCGGGGGTAAGGAGGGGGGCAGGGGTTGCTGAACCTTTGTAAACAAGTTGCTGAGATGGAAAAGTTGCTGACTCCCATAGGCTTTCTCCTTGTAAATCTTCTGGAAGGTTGAAAGAGGAGATTCCTTGGCCTCTGCTGCCCCCCTTCTTCCACAGTGTGCTCTCAGAGAATTGGTACTTCTCCACCAAAGCAACCACTTGCAGAAGCCCACCAGGGATTGTCTCATGTCTGGATAAAGAAGTGAACATCGTTCCTCAAATTGCCTGTCCTCAGGGTGAAACATGGCAAGGAGATCAGTGGCTATTTTAGGAAGCGAGTTGTGTAGGCTTAGGGTGGCCAGATGGGTCTGCAACAAGGGAGTAGCCAAGAGCCCATCTGCTGCCTCCCGCCACCCATCAAACTACTCTAACATTTGTTCCTGGCTTTCAAGCTGGGCTTTGCAGGCGCATGCACTGGACAGGGAGTTAGGGACGTCTCCCTGTGTGGTTTTCATGTGTCCTTGCCTCCTGCAGCCGTCTGCTCCCCATGACTGATGGATGCTGGCCCGGTTGCGCTCCTCCAGAGGGCCTGGAGAGCTTCTGGACAGTACCATTTACTGTCCTTATGCATTTCTAGTGCCGGACCCAGCTGCCCCTTTCCGCCCAGTGGAGACGCTAAGGACCCTGGCAATTCTTTCCCAGCCTCCAGTCCTTAGCAGCCTTCTGTGCTGTGACACCCCACCTTTGGGTTCTTGAACTCTGGGCTTGGTTCTTACTCTACTTGCTGCTGTTCTCCCTCTTCCATGGTCTCTCTCAGGGTTCAGCATTTTGTCTCCTGGGTGACTGCGTGATACTACTCGGCCAATCCATCCCGAGGACCATGACAAATGGCCTTGAAGGATGATTCTGTTTGGTGGTTCTAGGTTCATATCTAAGCTACTTTTCAGGATCTTTCCAAGGCTTCTCTGAGAAGGAGGAGGTAGTTAATGCTTTTTCAAATCAGCTTGTGAGGCTGAGGTTTTCTGCCATGTCAATCAAGTGGCTGCTGACACTGTGACTTGGAATATGTCATTGTCTGGTCAGATGGTAGTTGAAGATGTTATCTGTCACTTTTTTTTTTTTAACAGTGTGTTAAACTGGAATCATCTCTTTTGTTCTTGATGTTTATATTGTTACTGCCCAACTCTGCCAACTGTCTGAACCAGCAGCCCATAAAGGCTCTATGTGGCTAGGCACAGTGGTGCACGCCTATAATCCCGGCAGCTCACGAGGCTGAGGCAGGAGGATCACAAGTTCAAGGCCAGCCTCAGCAACTTAGTGAAGCCCTGAGCAACTTAGCAAGAACTTGTCTCAAAAGAAAGGGGAGGGGATTGTGCTGGGAATGTGGCTTGGTGGTTAAGCACCCTCAAGTTCAAGTCCTGGTACAAAATAAATAAATCCTATGTGTCCTTTGGCTTGTCTGTCATTGCTCTGATGCTATGTGGGGACATTTCTTTCTTAGCATCTTAAGTTCTCCTATTTCTTTCCTACCCACTGAAACTTGTATCTTTAAGGTTTCCAGGGAGAAATGTGGCTTTGGTACAGTTGGGAATGCCGTTGACCTTCTAATTGATAGTTCATCTCCTATTCCTTAATATTCCCAGTTGGGACTGTTCAGTATGCTTCCAATGTGAGAAAGAGCCGGAAGTCATCTCTTGAAGAACTCTTCATGAACTTGATTATGATTATGCAATCTTTTGCTATAGATTTCAAGGACTTGTAGTCCACAGAGAGGAACTCAGTCTTAGAGTGTCCCTAGTACTTGGTCATTGGCTCCCATGGGTTAAGGGTGCCAAAGCTGAGTGGGTCAGCCCACCATGGACATCCAGGGCTTGGGAAGAATAGACATGGTTTGGGACTGCAAATTATACCCTTTAGTTCTTC